TGATGCCGACGAGAAGGGTCTCTCGAAAAACTACGATCACGGCTTCTTCATCCGCAGAAGGGGGTACAACCCCAGCGGCTACGTCATCTACTACCCCAACACGACCTTTGGAAGAGACCGTCAACGACTACGAGGGCTCGGAGCCAAAGAAGCATAAAGCCGAACTCACATGGGTGGAAGAGCTCTACACCGCAACCGAGGAGCCCCAAGACACCATCGACATCTTCTCGGCCTTCCAGGAAACCGAAGAGTTCATGAAGATTGAATTCGATCTTGAACCACCGCAGTCGAACCGGCAACGCAGGTTCCTGGAGCGTGATCCCGTGATGTACCTAGTGAAGAAGATGAAGGATTCAGAGGTGGTGATGGCTCGATTGCCTGAAGGGGAGAAGAAGTTGTTCAACCGAGCCAAAACCAAGGAAGTATCGTCGTTCATCCAGAATGAGGCAGTGCGCAAGTGCTTGAACGACGAGGAGGTGCGCCGAGCGGTGGATTCCAAGAGGATAGTCAAGGCACGATGGGTCCTGACATGGAAGCTGGTGCCACCTGAAGACCAAGAAGAAGCAGTACGCGACAGTCACGAGAACCCACAGTCGGTGCATACCAGTGATGGGTTGAAGAAGGCCAAGGCCAGGATTGTTCTTCTTGGATTTCAACATCCCAGTTTGCTGGATCCCACATTCAAGACTGCGAGCCCTGTGCAGTCCATGCTGGGAAGGAATCTCCTGTATGCTATGGCAGCAGACTCGCAGTGGGACCTAGAAGGCTTGGACCTGGCGACGGCTTTCCTCCAGACTCAACCCACCGAGGCCGATCAGGAGTTGTGGACGACTGGTGTTCAAGAACTCAGAGATGCTTTGGGTATTGGGTCCGAGGGCGTGATGCGCGTACTTCGGAACATCTATGGCAGCACGACGGCGCCGAGGGGGTTATGGCTGTCATTGCACAAGATGTTGGTCAGCCTGGGTGCTCAGCCTGTCCTTGGAGAACGGTGCCTGTGGATATGGTTGTCAAAACTACACCGCGATGGAGAACATGCCAAAGTGATCGGCGCCATGGGCGGACATGTTGATGATTTCCATCGTATTGGCGACAACTCCCCTGAATGGCTGGAGATTAAGGAGAAGATCAACAAGGCCTACAAGTGGGGAATGACCAAAACAGGATCGTATCGCCATGCTGGCACCGACGTCACCACCAAGAAAGACGAGAACGGCTTCAATAAGATTGTGGTGGATCAAGGCTACTACATCGAAGGCCTCATGGATGTGGACATCGAACCGGATCGTCTACGTTCCAACGAGGTTCTCTGCAAGAAGGACATAGAGGCTTGCAGGGCATCTCTGGGCGCGCTACAATGGGTGGCCGTGCAATCGCAACCTCAAGTATGTGCACGATGCAATCTGCTGTTGACAGATCTGGTGACGCATGGAACCATGGAGACCGCGAGGGAGATTCAGCAGCTGATCTCCGAGACTCGGAACGAGCCCTTCACCTTGACGTTTCAGAAGTTTCCGAAGGCAAAGCACTGGCGTGATGTGGTCTTCATATCCATGGGCGACCAGGCGCATGCGAATCGGCCAAAGGGAGACTCAACGGGTGGATTGGTGACCCTCATCTCCGGCCCAGAGAGCGTCACTGGATGTGTGTGCCCCATGTCCCTGATTGGGTGGCGAACATGGAAACTGAAGCGGAAGGCCATCGGGAGCAACGATGCAGAGGTCCAGTCCATCTTGGAGGCGGAGGACCACAATTTCCGAGCAAGGCTCTTGTGGTCTGAACTTCATGGTGCAGCAGGACCAGATGCTGAACGTCCCCTACGGCAAGATCTCGTGGAAGTCGTGGAGAAGCAGATCTTGGGCATCAAGGGCATCCTGTGCACCGACAGCAAGGGCGGTTACGATGCGGTGGAGGTGAATGAGAGCCCATTGCTGGGACTGTCAAACATGAGAGCGGCATTGCAAGCTTTCCAACTTCGTGGAAATCTCCAACGTGCAGCCTGCGAATTGAGATGGCTGGCAAGCGACTACGACTTGGCGGACGCCCTCACGAAGAAGCGAGCTGATTGCCGTGAAGGTTTGCTACAGTTCCTGAGAACAGGGCATTGGTGTATAAAGTACGACCCCTCATTCACGTCTGCTAAGAAGAGCAAACGTGCTGGACGCTCTGCTGTAGGAACAGTGCAAAAGCACTTAGCGGCCCCTCTTGACGATGCAACCTGTGATGCTGCTGACCTTTTTTGGGGTTGGTGCAACAGGTATGATTTAGGTCTGGTTGATCAGCAGCATGCTCGTTGCTATAGGCTCATCTGAAGGGGCCCCTTTTGGATGTTGGCTGAACCGAGCCATCGTTACGCGTGCGTGGAGCACCGTGAAAACATCCCGTGCGTTGTGCACGTCTGCTGGTTTGGTTGAACCGCTGAAACCTTTGTGTGGAAGCCCGATACGCTCCATTGCAGCTACCCCCGCTGCACATTGTCATGCAGCATGGGTTCAGCGAAGTGTGGCCGTCATTCTCTTTGAAGGATTCCCAAGACATCCGAACCTTCACTCCCCATCCAGCACCAGTGAGGCGCGCCTGAACAGCCCAAACGAAGGCCGGTCGGCGGCATCCAGCCTGAGCTTTATTGCTTTCGACTCACTGATGCTCCGCTCCACGTGACACATCCCACAAGTGGGATACAGCGTTGGCACATGAAACTCCAGACACAAGACAGCTTCTCAGCGTCTAATCGCGGTGACGGAGGCCGTGCCTTCTTAATCCGAATTCCACAAGTATACATGAACACCTCTTGCAAGCAGACGGCTGTCAAGCAGGATTTCATAACTTTGAAACGTCTCTGGCTTGCAGGGCCATCATACTGACAGGTTCTCAACTTTTCTACGTGCAAGATTTCGGCCAAGCGGCCCCATATCTATGCACTCGTCCACGTAAATTGCACAGGCCAGCAAAAGGACCGGAACCACCCTTGTCGCCAAAACGCAGGGATTGTCTCACTGCATCTGGAATCTAGGAATGGTGAGACCCGACTGGTCTGAGAAAGAGAGAGAGAAAGAGAAATGCCCTCGTTGCAGTCATGTCTCACGCAGCCGATTACTACCTCAATCGAAGCGCTCTCTTCGACACATGGTGCGGCTTCTGAACATGCCATCAACAAATCGAAGAGTCGTGCTGGGCATGCAAGTTCACAAGCTCTCATCCCAGCCCGAACCCGGCAGCCGAGTGTCTCCAGGCGTCAAACCCTGCGAGGTCCGGGGGTGCAAGGCTTGGCATCTACTTGGCTCAGAGAATCCAAAGAAGTCCCAAAACCGAACACAAGCAAGAACCATGTGATCACGTTGTGCCTGCGACGGTGGGGTGGCGAGCAAGGCGAAGAAACACTCGGTCGTGGCGCCCAGGGCAATAGCCAGCACCATCGCCAAAGAGAAAAACCTTTGAAGACTTCAATCAAGGGCAGCAGCCCAGTGTTTTGACAACAAGGGTCCGGAGACTTCTGGTCTTCAGATCAGGCACACGAAGAAGATACATCTCAGCCGCACAGTGGTTTCGTACCAGTACCTTAATACCAGCTACAGCAAGTCGACATGACGCATTCCTGTAGGCAAGCTGACCTCGACGTTGCGCAACAAGCAAACAATTGCCGCCAATTGCAGCTCGGGGGCTTGTGCATGCCTTAATTATAATCAGAGGAGTCAACAAGGCAACGCGGAACGAACAGGCTTGCCAGGATTCGCCAGGTCGCGTCGCGCTTGTATTTAGCGCCTAGAGGCTCTGTAGGCCTCTAGGCTAGAACCTTCGGAACCAAATGCCAGAAAGCTGCTGTCGTCAGGATGCAGCATTCCGCTGCACATACTCTCGATGTCCGCGACCTGGTTCCAGCTGGCGTGACAAACGGCGGGCCACGGGACGACCGTCGCAATCAACTGATTCTGAGGCCCATTTGCCGAGGTGCTATGTCTGAGGCTTCGCTGGAGTCGTCTCCACTTACTTCGACGTCATCGCTAGTCCCTCCATTCTCACCTCAATGCCGCAGTTCATCTAGAAGCCGCCGTGGTCAAGTGTCGTGCTATGGACCCGCTCCAGCATCCGGTTACGGTTTCAGAGCGCAATGTAATGTGCTTTCTGAAGCCATGTGGAGCCTGTATCTACGTAGACAAGCTTGTGGATGGCACGCGCGCTGAACACATCAGAACACAACCATGCACAATCACTTTGCCTTAGCAGCCAAGACACCACGCGACTCCACGTCCAGCTCTTCTATTTGGTAGCCTGGCACATTCCGAGCAACTGCTGCTTTTGAACATTATCTCCTGCGGCCCCCTGGGTTTGATTTGGACCATGGCAAAAGAGCCACGGAAAGAGTGCCAGTGTAGTCAGAGCAATGGCGCATGCGATTGGTGCCCCTGGACTCCATCCTAAGCAAAGCAGGGCGACCTGCGTGTTGTGGTGATATGGGGCCAATTGTTGCCATGACCTCAGCTGCCCATCTCTCCCCTGATCTTCTGCCCAACAAAGTCGCACTACTTCCTGAGAGACCTTCCTCAACCAGCACGTATACCCCGCATGCATATATATATACATATATATATACTTGCGTACATGTAAAAAGAAACTGCATATGAAGCTACGTATCATTCAAGATACCACATCAGTACAGCTAACATTTAATTTGTGTACACACACAGATATTTCACATAAAACCCCACCCCATCGTCGTGTTCATATTCCTGGTCCAGCGGACAGCGACGTCAACAGCGAGAGGCTACCCTTCCCGGCTCTCTTTGTCACAACGGCTGCAGGTGCAAGCATCTGTTTGCATTGCGAAACATGTGACTCACTGCACATTCACACCCTTCTTTTTGCACATTCACACCCCTACACCCGAATTAAACCCTAATCCCCTAATGCCCTAGACCTCTCCTGGCTATGATGTAAAACCCGTACTCCCCAAATCCCCCAAACCCCGAAACCTACTCATCTGCCCTGGGGCTTCGGTGCGCCTCGTGGCCCTTGGAAAGAACTACCTCGGCAGCGGGCGACGAGTGCTTGTGGGCAGAAGAAACCCATGAAATCCCTCTCTGTCTTTGGAGCTCACCGCAGCGTCTTTCGCGTGCTGCACGGCAGACCTGTCGACAGGCGTCTTGCGACTCTCCGCTTAGAACTTGCCTGATGCAACTGCAAGATCTCTGAGGTCTACATTTACATAAAGATTTCTAGAATGGACATCATAATCATCATCATCATCATAATAACTGCCAGGCTGAGGAAGCGGCTCGAAGATGGCACGGTTGGGCTGAGCCGCTGCTGACCTCGCAGAACTGTGCATTGAGGCCAGCTATGCCACCTTGGCCCACTGTAGGTGCCGAACTCTGTGGAGGCTGCAGCCTTGAGTTGCTTCTCGACCTCAAGAGCTCGCAGGGCAACCAAGGTGACAAGACATGCAAGAAAGAGTCATCGTCATAGTCTTACTTGAGGAATCATGTATGAACAACCACCGTTTCAAGCTGCACGCCTCTTCAGCAGAAGCCAACGTTCTAAAGAAGTCGCCCCGCCTTGCGTTGTTCACCATGGGATGCTGCTTAAGTGTCTGTGTCTACAGCAGTCTGCTGATGCAAACGGCACTTCCGTGTGGGGTCCCCGCAAGGGTGCGCCCATCTGGTCATCATCCAAGGACACTTTAAGAGCCTCATATGTTGTCAAATGTCGGCATGTCGAAAGCAGCTTCACAGTCGCGCATGGATGGCCAAAGGCAGCAGGTCCAAACTTCAAAAGCAACAGCGGAACGGGTTGTACCAGATAATGAACGAGACGCGCACCTTTTCGAGAAGTGCTAGGGCCTGGGTAGCTGATGAGAATGCCACCACACACACGCTGTGGGCTGTGGGTGCATTCTGCTCGTGATGGTGTGTGATGCTCTGTTTCCAAGGCTGCTGCACGCAAAAGGAGCGACAGGGCTTCCAGCGGGGCATGTTCGGCAAGCCTGTCAACTCAACTTATAAGGCTTCGAAGGGCAGCGCCCGCGAAGATCCATTCGTCAATGCGGCCAGTCTTCGGTCAGCCCCCTTTTTTGCAGCACGCGGTCAGATTCAAGTGGGACCTTCTGTCCTGTGCGGCTTTGGGCAGCTGATATTCGGAAAGAACAGTGATTTACAGTACAAGGCACAAAATCCACCTGGGCCTCGGTGTGGCTCTTGGCAAATCTGGAAGTGGGCGCAGCAGCATATTCGGACTGCTCATGAGCCTATGAGCCTAGAAGCCTGCATGCATCCGGCCCATCTGGCCCGACGGCCCTACCTAAGAATCCACTACTTCGGTGCTCAACAAGTTTTGTTACGTACACGGTACATTCATGTTAGGAATCAATCAGTCCCGGCAACATGCAGTGGATTGAGCCCCTGTGGCCACAGACATACCTCGTCGAGAGGCGGCTCTGATGCCTCTCAACTTCCAGATCTGCCTCAGACAGGACTTGTTTCGAATTTCGACCCTCTTGCACACAGCAGGCCAGGCTCTATGCTTCCGCAGGAAAGCCTCTCCGCCCAACCCTCGAGCCCACAGAAACAGCTTCGAAGCAACATCGCAAACTCCCCCGGCCAAAAAGAGCCCAGTAGTATTCACCCCCCCCCCCCACCCCACAACTTGACACAACCCAAGCCTAGCTCCACTCGATTTCGTGACCAGCTATCGCTCTGATCATCTCTGCTGCGGAGCGTCGGACGGTGGCTTAGTACCTGTACTTCGTACAGTAGTCCTGCGCAAGCGCTGGTGGCTAGGACACATACAGCAGGGATAACCTTCCATGCCTACGCGCGTAAATTATCCCAGCACAAACTCGCCGAATCCTAGAAAGCGATGTTGGTGGCACGTCCTTGGGCGACATCACCAGACCTCTTCCCTTGCGGGCACCGCGATAGATCGTCTCCACGATGTCAATGAACTCCTGTTGTCAAACGGGTACTCAGAATGCAGCAGCTTCAACTGAGCAAGCACCATGAAGGCCTGCTTGTCATTCATGGCCCAGTTCACTTTGTTGTTGTTTCCTTGGGAGCAGTACGCCATCAAAAACAGCCGAAGGCCAGATCAGGAAGTTGGCGGCCGTGCCTGTTCCCAAGTCAATCATCATGTGCTTGTTGCGGAAGAAAAACATGACCGTGACGGGGTCGTAGAGCCTGGGTGGACATGGATTTGGGTGTATCACTTGGCGATGCGGCCATCCAGAAGAAGGCCACCACAATCCACCACACCAAGCACTTCAACAACTGGCCACGGCACTCGTACATGGTGTTGAAGTCTGGCACCTCCTTCACATCCACAAGGTAGATGATGGCAAAGCTCTTGATCTTCTCCTTTCAAGATTGCAAGTCACGGAGAAGCTGGCAGCTTTAGCTGTCGTTGCAGGTGAGCTGCAGCTACCGAGTACAGGATCTCGTCCATCCTTG